CATTCATTTTTGCCATAGAAATTAGCATTTTATTAGCACAAATTGCTCTTGTTCGCTAATTCCAAAGATGTCCAAAAGCAAGAACAGCCTCCCGAGCTGTTAGACTTTGGAAGAGAATAGTAAATCAACTGGTGGATAGGACCATATATCATATTAAACATAGGGAATTCACCACAAAATCATTACACTAAAAAGCGACAATTTTGATTGATTAAAATGGTATGGGCTGGATAGTGTTAAATCACTGTGAGTAATATGACATTATGATTTTACATATCATATTTCTGCCAAGACAATGAAGGTAAAAGGCATTGTCATCAGATGATAACAGACAATAAGAAGAATCCTGATGTTAGATTTATTACTGGGTTTAGATTTAGAAAGAAGTAATTCTTGTCCTGTTCCACTTATCAAATGACTGTAAATTCAGTGATGATGTAAAATTCTAAGGCAGAGCCACTTACAGGTTTGACAAAGTGCCAGCTAGAAAGTATTTATTGTTCTCAGTGGTTCTGCCTTACACACTTAAATATTTATCAGAAACATAAGCCCCTCTGATAAATGTTTTGGATCTTTGTGCCTATTTTTTTTTACATTTAGATTTTTCATCAGAAACCAAATCTGTCTTTTTATTATGCTAATAACACTGAACTCATAATTTGAAAGGGTAATATATGAGTTTTAAAATTTGACTCCTTGTAACTTCTGATTTTAAGTGTGAAACTTTTGGAATAGTTCCTTATCCATGGGTGCATGCAGCCTTTGCTTGGTAGTATAGCCAGTCGGACCAGGGATCAGCACGTGAGGTAAAGAAAGGCAGCTATGTGCTGGCCACTAATCTTGGGGTGGCAGGTGATGGCATGAGAACCCTGGGTTATGGGAATGTTCTATATAGGACACAGGAGACTGGATCTGGCTACATCTTCTTATTAAATAGATTCAAATGTGAGACATACAAATGGTATACCACCTCCAAAGCACAGAGAATCACAGAAAGAAAGCAGTTAGTAAACTCCGTAAGGTTGCCAAAGCTACCAAATGCAAAAGCCAAACGTTGCAGGTAGAAAGGCAGCGTCATTAAGAAACAGCAAGATAAGTAGATATTATAAAAACTGAATTAGAAAGTAGCTGACCCATCAGAAAATAGAAACTTCACACTAAAAGTGGGCTAGGTTGCAATCATAAAGCTGTTGAGGTTACTTTTCGCTATTCCTCAATTCCCTGGGTATCCTTACAGCAAACTAACTTTAACTACTTTAAACTGGGCTTCTTATGCTTCCTCCAACTTCAAAAAGTCTAACACATCTAAAAAAATATAATGAATTCATAAGATCACAGAATTTCAACTCTATAAGAGCACTTAGAGACATCTTGCCAAAACATTTCCTACTTATTTTTATTATGGGGAATTTCAGTGCTAGGGAGGAAAAACAACAGAGTCAAACCCTTTCTTTGCTCTATTAGCTGAGCATGTACTGTGATCATAAGCTTCTTAAGGCTACAAACGTGTTTTTAGTATCTGTTTCTTCTACCCAGTATAAAGTAAGAGCTCAATAATGCTTTTTTTAATAGTGAGTCATAGTAAAATCTTACGGCATTAGATAGTTTAGATTTGTTTGCAGGGCTGGTTAATTCTAAATAGTTAAAAGCAGGTATATGGTAAAAAATGAAATGACTCTTTTTTTTTTCTTTTTTTGAGACAGGGTTATACTCTGTGGCCCCGGCTGGAGTGCAGTGGCATGACCACAGCCTCGACCTCCTAGGTTCAAGTGATCCTCCCACCTCAGCCTCCCAAGCAGCTAGGACTACAGGTGTGTGCCATCATGCCTAGCTAGGTTTAAAAAAAAAATTTTTTTTAATAGAGATGAGGTCTCACTATGTTGCCAGGGCTGGTCTCAAACTCCTGAGTTTGAGCAATTCACCCGCCTCAGTCTCCCAAAGTTCTGAGATTATAGGTGTGAACCACCACACTGGGCCGATTATTTATCCCTCCACCCCAATCTATTTTGTTAACACTTTCTCTTCTGCATATGATACATGCACATACTCATATACATACTCAAATAAAGGAGTTCTTAATCTCATTAGAAATATAAACTGATTAAAGAAGTTTTATGTCCATCAAAATTGGTCCTGGAAAATTCATTGCACAAGGCTGGCATTTGGGGTTCACAAATTGCTTGAGCAATGGGGCAATGACAATATCCAAATAATTTACAGTTAGGTCTCCACATTCACTTAGATTCATGGATTAAAAATGAAAGAAGTGTTATGTTCTGGAACGTTTTCTGATTCAAGTATAGGGAAGATTAGTATGGAGATAAGTTCTCTGACCCTCTAATTACATGAAGCTTTCAGCATCAGTCTCATTTACTTGAATCTCAAAGGCTAAAGAATTTTTTTGAATAAATCAAAACTTAAAAAAGTCTTTGGGAAGTAACGTATGTCTGTTCAGCAGACTGTTTTGTAGAAGAGAACAGTTAGTTGAATTCAGGGATATTTCTTCAGTTTTTATGTCTGTGAAAGAACAAACAGTAAGAGCTATCAAAATCACATCTGCCACTCAATATTGTTTTAACTTTCAGTTGTATTTTCTTTAGAGAGAAGTCCTTCAAAGCCAGAATAAATAATTCTCCAAGATAGCATACAGAAAATAGAGAATGCTAGTTCTAATCTTTATCTAGATATTGTCTTAGGAGGTATAAGGACAAATCTTTAGTTTTGACTAGTTCTGAATTACGAACTCTATTGGGGACCTGGATTCCTTTTGCTAAGAAAGTTATACTAGTCTGAATTTCCTAAAAAAGGACTTCTGAGAAGTGTAGTGATTTATTAGACATTACTTAGGGATGGGGCTTAGGAAAGAGAGAAAAGCTAGCAACTTTCATACTATTCTCCCTTGGAAGAGAGGAAGTAGTATGAAAGGTTAGGGGCACATGCCAGAGTGAATTCTGTCCATTTGCAAAATTACTCATTATATCAGATGGGGTGGTTTGCATTCTGTATGACACAGCTTTTTTTTTGCCCCCTGTAAATTATGGAAAAAAAAGTTTTAAAGAGGGGATAGTCAAGAAAAGTTTGGTGTCCTTATTCATGTGAAATGAAGGAAAAATTAATAAAGGTTTTATGATGATCTTATAAATAGGTAAACTTTATATCATGTGCTGAATGCAAAAAATCTTTTCAAATGTCAAAATGTCAAGATTTGTATGCTAAAGAGGATTTCAAGGGACTTTGAATATATAAAGTTAAAAATTAAAAAATGGTTCTTTCTAGCTTGACAAACTTTCATTCTGCATTAGCCAAGTAAGTTTTCACTCTGCTTCACCTATGGTTGCTCATAAGCCTTGGAAGATAAACTCTAAGGTAGCTTTTAGAGCAAATAAAATACTATATAAAGCTCCTTGATGGTGCAGTGGATCATGCCTATAATGGTGAGGCAGGAGGATGGCTTGAGGTCAGGAGTTCAAGATCAGCCAGAGTAATATAGTGAGATCTTGTCTCTACAAAAAAAAATTTTTTTTTTAAATTAGCTAGGCATGGTGGTCCACACCTGTAGTCCTGCTACTTGATAGGCTGAAGTGGGAGGATTGCTTGAGCCCAGGAGTTCAAGGCTATGATCACACCACTGCGCTCCAGGCTGGGCAATAGATCAAGACCCTGTTAAAGAAATAAATAGAAATAAAGCTCCTTGAGTGGGTGTTGGTATCCACTCAAGGTGTGGGCTAATATCATAGATATGCTAGGTCCATCAAACTACAGGGCAAGAACAATTAAGATGGGTAATAAAATTTTAACTAAAAATTGGTCTTTTAATTGGCTACTTAAATGCTTGATGTCCATTAGTTGTTGCTTTTTGAAGTTGAGATTGCTTTGAAGCCTGATTTGTTGTGTTTGGGTTATTACAAATCTATTCTTTCTATCCATCCATCATCCCACCCTATATCTTTTGATATATTTCAAAACAACTTGCAGATGCCAGTCAGTACCCTTCACCCTAAAGCACTTCAACATAATGAACATGAGAATTCAGTATTTGATTTTTTGAGGTACAATTTATATACAGTGACGTTCTCACAGGACTGCTGGTGAGGGTGGAAGTCAGGGAGGCCATGAAGGGAAGCCTGACTCCAACAGCAGTCAGGTGCGATGTCAGCCTAGTTTTATCTGCTCTTTTTCCCTAATCCTCTGAAGAACAATTCACTTAAAAAAGTGGTTTCATAGCTAAAAAAATTTTTTTTTGAACTTCACTAAATGTTATGATTTATTTTCTGAAAATAGAAAACTCTCTTTCTGAGATTTTAGCCAGTCCTGATAATACAGATTTACTTAGTCTTAGAGCCTCAACAAGCCAGTTTGTGTTTGTGAACTGTCTCAGAAGGGGTGGCATCTCATGTTAGGTAGGCTACTCCATCTCTATTCATGGAGAATTTCAAAGGGATTTCCTATGCTGTGGCTTTCCCTATGCCTGACATTATTCCTCCTATATTACTTCCTAAGATAGTAAGTAAGGCCTGGTGCGGTGGCTCAAGCCTGTAATCCCAGCACTTTGGGAGGCCGAGGCGGGTGGATCACGAGGTCAAGAGATCGAGACCATCCTGGTCAACATGGTGAAAGCCCGTCTCTACTAAGGCAGGAGAATTGCCTGAACCCAGGAGGCAGAGGTTGTGGTGAGCCGAGATCGTGCCATTGCACTCCAGCCTGGGTAACAAGAGTGAAACTACATCTCAAAAAAAAAAAAAAGATAGTAAATTATTTGTAATTTTTTTGTGATTTTAATTATATTTAGCATCATATTAGTGGTGCAGACTTGTTAACAAGAATGCATTAGTTTTATATTGCTGCTGTAACAACAACACGCTTAGTTGCTTAAACCAGTACAAGATTATTGCTTTGTAGTACTGTAGTTTAGAAATCTGGTCTAAAATAAAAATGTTCATAGATCTACATTCCTTTCTGAAGGCTTTATGGGATAATCCATTTTTTTTTTTTTTTTTCAGATTCTAGATGTCCTTTTGTCTTCTTCCCCTTTCAAAGATCGCCTGAGTCCTATTTTCCGCTAGGGGTCGCCCTGACCTCCTGCCTCTTATTTCAAAGCCAGTAAGAGTGGGTTGAGTCCTTCTCACTCCACCCTCTTCTTTGGTTTACCTCTTCTACTTGTAAGGACCGTTGTAATTACATTGGATTCACCTGGATAACCCAGAATGATCTCCCTATTTTAAGGTCAGTTGATTAACAAACTTAATTTCATCTCCAACTTTAATTCTCCTTTGCCATGTAATTTAACATAGTCACAGGTTCTAGGAATTAGGATGCGGTGGAAAGGTATTTTTGCACCAGTTGCAAATGACTTAATTATCAGTTTCACTTGATTATCAGAAATCAACTCATTTCGTTATCAAAGTTATTTGCTGTTCTTTGCTAATTCATTTGAAACTGGAATCCTGAGTAGTGCTCATTTGGACTAAAGCTCCATGGTTCTACCCACTTGCTTTGGTTGTACTGTTGAGAGCAGAAACTTCAAATCCAGGATCTGTTATTCTCTAGGGAGTCCCCTAATTCATTCTGTTTCTTCCTGGAGGAGTTGCAAAAGGGAGCCCGCACTGGGTGGAGCAATTAGAAAGTGGTTCCAGGACTCGGGTTTGGTCAGAAGTTAAAGGATAGATTTCAGCACCACCACAGCAGGGTACAATCTACACACAGTAGCCCTTCTACCTCACAGTTTCTATATACTGTGCCCCATGCTTTCAGCCTCTGCCTTAAACATTTATTTGCTCTAAGCTTCTAAAGTGTAACCTGTGTCTTAGGAAGTCCCTTTAGGGCTTAGCTTAGAGCTGAGCACGGGGTAAACTCTGGACCCTGTCCTGCTGTGATCTGTGAGTGACAATACAAAACCACACCCTCATTTTAGACAAAATTTAAGCATTTTAAAATAATAGTTATAGATTGCTAGCTACTTAAGATGATTTATGGAGTCTTTAAAAGTAATCTTATTTATAAGTTAAAAAAAATCAGGATTCAACTTCTATACATTTCTGCTCACAGAATCTGTGAGTGTCCTGTCATCTGTGTAGGCTCGATGAATCAGAGAACCTAGAAATGGCCAGGAGTCACTGGAAGAATAGTCTCTCTGTGACCCCATTAGTTGGAAGGGGTATTAATGAAATAAGGCAGGCCATGTCAAGAACCAAGAAGCTGCTCTAGGAACTGAAGAAAGAAGAAGTAGAAGAGACATTATTATTAAGGCAGCCTTTCTTCATGGGTGAGGATATACTTGAGTTGGGCCCAGAAGAAAGGCTTTTCCAACCAAAGGGAGCAAGTGTGAGTTAAGTTACACAATTTGGAATATACGTTGAATATTTTGGAACTGGTAGGATATTTGTCTGCTTGTGAATTCAGTGGAAGAAAATTATGAGAGCAAACTACCAAACACATTAAACAGTCTCCCCAGACCGAGGTCTGTGGTGCTTTTCATGTATCATTCAATTTAATCCCCCCAAAAGTCTACAAGGTAGAGATTAGCTCCGTTTCATCAGTAAGATAGCTAAAATTTATAGAGGTTAAACAATGTTTCCTGGTCACATAAATTACATTTGGGAGACATAAATAAAATCCAGGTCTATTTAAATTCAAATTTCATGATCTTAGCATCTGTAATATTGTGAAGCCAAAGATAGAAAGACTGGGTGGGAAGAGGCTGAGGGATCTCTTCAGGTTTGTTCAGTTGCTCTGGAGGAGGGAGAAAGCAAAATGAGGTTTCTGTTAAGCTGGTTTTGTGTGTGTTAAAATATTTGCTCATGTGCTGAACAATTTTTTTTTTAAAAATATTTTTTTAGTTTTTTGAGACGGAGTCTGGCTCCTTCGCCCAGGCTACTTCAGCCTATTGCAACCTCTGCCTCCTAGGTTCAAGCAATTCTCCTGCCTCAGCTTCCTGAGTAGCTGGGATTACAGGCACATGGCAACCATGCCCAGCTGATTTTTGTATTTTTTAGTAGAGATGGGGTTTTTCCATGTTGGCCAGGCTGGTCTTAAACTCCTGGCCTCAGGTGATCGCCCGCCTCAGCCTCCTAAACTGTTGGGATTACAAGCATAAGCCACCACACCCAGCCTGAACGATTATCTTGAATCATCTATGTTATTGACTTATAGCATAAGGAATGGGTAAAGAACCTGAGTACAGCAAATACAAGCCTTGATCTTGTATCTTTTCACCTTATGCAGACAAGACAGACAAGCCAGCAAATGGATGTTAAAAGCAGATCGCCTAAGGAACACACAGAGTGGTAGAAGCAATCGGGAAAGGGCTTCCCGCACTTACGTAGAGATGGAAGATCCTCATTGAAATAACTTATCATTTTTAATGGAGCAATTTCTATTTTTATACTTAATAGGAGGACATTCACTAGTATAACCATTTATCACCACTAGATGTCACTGTAAGACTAAAGTTAAATTACTGTTGCTGTTTGCTGTTTTCCCCCCCACCCCGCCCCGCCTCCCCCAGACCCGGCAGCTCTCTTCAGATTTTTTTTTTTTTCAGTGAAAAAGTGAATTAAGAAGTAAGAAGAGATACATGATGATGGTGGTGGTTGGGGGGAGTTAAATGCTTTTTATCCTAAATATGTCTTTTATTCTACTGTGTTTCTTTTTGCAGAACATTATATCACTTGTAGAAAAATAAAGTAACGTCCAGTAAATCTATTTAGAGTTAATATTTTTAGTTTTGGCTTGGGAATGTATTAATTCACCCAAAAGTAGCCACAGCTTTAGATCTAGACTTTAGTTGTCCATTTGTGATAGTATTTTAAATTGTAGTTTTAATAAAAAGAAAGCAGACATAAGACAGTGTCCTGTGACTACTACTGTCTACATTTTTATGAGAACAGTATATCTTCATGGTGATAAGGTGTTGGTGAGATATTCTTTTGAGTCTGTGGTCTCACTGAGTTTAATAGAAGGAAGCTCAGCTATATTTATGAATGCCATTTTGTCCAAAGATATCTTGCTTTGTTAAAATCCACAGAATTTTATTGCCTAAATTATGTGATGAAGATTTCTCAAAAGGAAAAAATAAATTTTTTTCCTTCCTTTTATAGTCCTTGCATTATTACTTAGATTTTACTGTGGATAAAATATTCTGAATTTTGGAATTCTGGTTTCACTTTTTGATATTTTAGAATGTTAATATTACTTTACAACTATATCCTTCATTCCAGTGGTTTTGCCATGTTGTGTCCCTGTCCTGACCTGTGACTTCTTCGCCTCCTTTCTTTTCCCAAGATCCTCTCTGCTGTTCACAGCCGTGGCTCCCTGATAAAGCTTTTTCGTTGCAAGGAGCCTTTCCGTTTTACCTGTTGCTTGCATGCCTTACTTTTTGCTTTTGCTTGCTTCTTCAGCTCTTCTAAATTTAGTTTCTAATCAAGTCCTATACTTTTCTTACCAGCTTTTTTCCAGAATAGCCTCCATTAGCTCTTTATCTTTGATGACAATAAAGCCCTTTACCTTTGATAACAATAAATAACATGAAAATATTAATAGTTTATTTCCCCTAACCTCTCTTTCTCATAATTTTTGTGACCACATGGCACCAAGTCACTGGTTGAGAAACTAGTTTAGTTGACCAGTTACTAGTTTTTACTACTTCCTATAAAATACTTATTTGGGTTGGTGTTTATTCCTAGTGAAAAGACTGGATGTTTGGATTCATATGGACATAGCCTTTGTCTCATCTCATTTCTCACAGTTCCTCAATTTTTCACTGTAACTACCTGATTTCATCCAATTATTTTCTGGAAACCTTAGGGGAGTGATCTGATCAGTCAGACTGAAATTGTCTTCTTCCAGTTTGTTAGGAAAAGATAAGTTTCTAATATTTCATCAATAATCAAATAACTTATATGATATATAGGACAGAGGGGAAACAATGATCGAATGCCAGTTATGAAATATTCCGTGGTTCCCGTGGAATGTGGCTAAGAAACATGAAGAAGGTATGACCTAGAATATGCAAAAGAGAAACTGAGAAATTACAAAGTTAAGCCAAGTATCGGATCTACCTTAAACACGTAAGAGTAAAACAGACCGATTAACAATTTCTCTTTGAAAGTCTCCATATGCTAGGAGCTTCTGGTGATTTGTGGTGGAATCTAGGTCATTTCTACTCAAAGTGTGGTTTGTGGACCAGCAGTGTCAGCATCACCAGAGGCCTTTTTAGAAATATAGAATCTGAGGCTTCATCTCAGACCCTCTGAATCAGAAGTGCATTTTAGCAAGATCTCCAGGTGATTTTTATGTACATTACAGCTTGAGAAACACAGATTTAGGTCATTGTTAGAATTAGGACTGCTTACTTTTCTTAGGGGTTCGAATGCTGGTTTTACTTCTCCTCTTCCTCCTCTCCTAAAACATTTGGGGAATATTCTTAAAGCCAGAAGTGTCATTTTTTTTTTGAGCCAACAGAAGTCAGTAAGAATCCTGCTTTACATTTTTCCAAATCCAAATTGAAACGCAATGAATGCAATGAAAGGAAAGCTATAAAATAGTTCCAGTGTTGAGTAGCAATGTATTACTTGATCTCTGTTCTGTATTCGACTTTGTCCCCAGTGAAACAATTATACAGAACAATTCGACTAACTTTGTATTCTTTCATTTTCTATTGTTGCCCTGTCTCTTTCAGCTGTGAAATGGCTTCTTTTCTTCTTTTCATCAGTCTGTCTCCCATGCCTCACCTCCCTGGCCCATGTTCCAGCTGGTAACAGTTTATGAAGCATGTTGCAGTGTTAATACCTTGTTAAGGCTATTTTAGCTGTTGGGTCTTTGAGAGGTCAATGTCAGGACTGTTTTACTTTGAACCCTTGATGGGCAGGGTAAAGCTGGGGACATGCCAAACTTCTACCTTCTCACACTGCAGGAAGCCTTACAACTGTAGGCATCTCTTCCCATAATGCAGTATTGCTGCAGGCCGTGTAAGCAATTAGACATATTCTGCTTCTAGTCAAATAATGAGGGGGAATTTTAAGACTTATTTAAAATTATTAGTGAATTAGACATGGCATCATTAGGCTTCTTTTATATTTTAAAATTCAGTGCAACCAAATATAGGTGTTAAAGACTGCATACATTTTATAACCTTTATTTCTAACAGGTGTCAAACATTTTTGAGTTTATAACAAAGAAAAGAAAATGGAACATTTTCCTCCAGTTTTATTATATTACCATATTGT